GTGATAAACTGTAAACGTTTAAGTATAACTGAGAGATTAATATATACCTACATATTTCTGATCGCATCCAGCGTATAATTCCAGTTAGGAAAATTACCAGCCAACAGTAATATAGATAAATTCTTAATCAGTGCATAAATTATCCAGAGAGATTGTCAATTTATGTAAAGCAGAATTAAATGGGTTGTTTTTTTCTTACGTGCGCGATATACAATATGTATAATTATTATTTAAATATCTTTAAATATATCTGCATCTTTTATATTCTTTTTCCAAATCATTCTTTCAATTGTATAGAAAATTTCATAATTAAATATTTTAAAGCAAACTTGCAGTATTCCGGAATATTAACAAAAGTGAGATATTCTTTCAATCAATATATATGTTTCAATTATTAGCTATAAATAAAATGACGCATATAAATGATCGATATATCTGTTTGTTAAGTGTCCGTTTTGATTAACACGGATTTTATCGTTAAATTATTTCGTTCTCTTACAACAATATATATATTTTTATTTTGGCATCTTGTTTCTTTATGATTCTGATTTAGAAAGAAAATGATAAAACTTTATATGCAGCACAAGGATTCTTGTAAAAGATTAACCGTCAAACTTAAAGATGAATTATGATTCCGAAGGCGAAGCGAACGAGCTTCCGGTTTCATCGTTTGAGCTTCCACCCGCAGCTTTTCATCTTTCTTTTTTTCCCGACTCTTTCTCTTTCGTCTTCTGATCTGATGCCAAGATGGCAGTTCGAGTGCAGCCGCGATGCAAGACGCGCGTGTATTTGTATCCGACGATGACGACGACACGTCGTATCAAAGTTAAGAATACGACGGCCACCCGGACGGGAGGGGATTAGGCGAGCCGCCCGTTTGCTCGCTACACTCTTTGTAACCCGTGCATACAGATGATAACCTATGCACATATCGCAGTCGTCTGCCAGTCAGCGGCAATGGCGTCGTCACCGGAAACCACCGGCGGCCAGCCGGATATCTTCGTGTCAGACCGATAGGAATCGCCGCGTTGAATCGACATCAAATGACTCCGCGATTTCTCACGCAAATGTATATGACGTTCCGATTTATGCTAAACTCTCGCACGCGTTCCTTTCGCTTCGAATTAGCCCGACCCTACCGTATACTTTAATATTAATATATGTCATTGCGTATTATATATGCCACAACCAAGTATTTAATACAAAATTAATGCGATTGTATATAACGTTAAAGAACATATAATAAAAATATTTGCTACTTGATTCTTTTTTTAAAAAAACAAAGTTTTGCATTATAGCTCTCTTTATTTTTAACTGTGTTAATTTATATACTATATTTATATATTAATACAGATTTAAAAGTATTATTAATAATTAATATTAATTGGATTAAATGTCAAATTTTTTGTCGAATAAACTACGATACGTCAGCTTACGCCAATGATGAGCGCAGTCGATTCCCCGCTTTGTCTTCTTACTATCTGCTTACGGAGTTTGTAAACATCTTCACGGCGAGATTCTTCTCGCAGAGGTTTAATTGCGCGCGTCTTGTCGGGGCTGCCGTTCCGCGGTTTTGCAATGAGGAAGTATCGCAGAAAGGATCCGCATTAATCAGAAATCAATCCGCGTCTCAACCGGACAAAGGAGGAAATCGTAGCTCCTACTCGCACCTAGCACAGCAAGAAACCAAGAATATCCTCATCGCTTCTCTCTCTCTTATATCCAATTTATCTAGAAAAAATTGTAGCTTTTTTCCCTAGAAACAAGTTTTCTCGTTATGTCTATTTTCGTCGTAAAATCGATTGAAACAATATAGATAGCACAACGATATAGATTTATATAGATAGTTAAGTGTAACGTCATTCTTTGATGGAATTAACAGTCGTTATTTCTTCAAAGATTTATCGGTGCGAAGGATAAACGCAATGTAAATTTTCGCTGACAGTCGATCCTTGTTGTTGAAAATTTTAAAAAGAAATGTGCACTTAAATTTGATATCAAGCTTCGATAACTTCTCTCTTACAACAAAACAAGAATTGTCTAGAGATGTAAAGGAGTTGTTTGCGCCTTATCTAAATATTTTCCGTAAAAATCATGCATGGAGGAAGGCATTGCAACACTTCGACAAGAAAAAGTCAATACTATCGCGCATAAACAAACGCACTTCTTTTCACGCGTGCGAAGAATGGTATGTACGTATATACATTAGCAATTCTCTCTTTTAATATGTTTTAACACACGGGCCATTTCGCAACGACCCAGTTCGCAATATAAAATTGAAATGCTGGTACAGTTTTAAATACGCGAACTCACAATCAGACTTTGATACCATAGAAAACATAATCCTTGTATATATATAAATCACGATACAACGTAACGCAACAATCTTATTCGCTATGGAAAGCTGAACTCGTCAAAATTACAGCGATTTCAATCTTTGATTCATAACAGCTTTACGGAGGCACGAATTGCAAATTTGAGAAGGAAAAAGAGAACCAGTTTCGCCCGATGCCCGCACAAGGCTCGTGGAAATCTTGCGAAAGCCGCGAGCGGGCAGGTATTACGCGCGCGAGTTCGTCCGCTCACTCTGCGTTATGTAAATGATAACGCGCAACTTCCTCAATAACGATTAAGAAATACGAGCGGTTCCTACACCCGGGCTATGCTTTACGTAAAACATTTCCGTACACGTTGCAGCTAACGGGGCAGGTTAGATCCCTTCGATTATGTAGCGAGGTGACAGAAATGCCTCCTCAGGTAGGTCTTTATTCCTCGTGCGGTCTGTCGTCTGTCGTGTTCCGACAGAAATCGTTTAAAGATCCATTTAAAGCTGAATGATTTCCGAGAGATAAGATTGTGTGCGTTTGAATATTTCAACACCCGCGCGAGATATTTGAATGTCAATTTGCTTCCGCCTTTTTGTATTCATATTCGGAGTATGTTAATCTTTGTGAAAAAAAAAAAAACTTTTTCTACATTGAAAGATATGTTTCAACATCTGCTTGTATCTAAAAAATATGTGTAAATGCATAAAAATCGAAACCATTTTACGAATAAAACAGCTTTACAAAGTTAAACTCAAATAAATATATATAAAGAAAACGTGTTTAAAATTTACATAAATCATGTCGCGAAGGCTGTCCTACCAGGAAGTAATTTCAGAAGTAGTTTAAGTATCTTAAAAGTAGCCTAAGCATGCCTCAACTCTCGCCATATGTCAAACATAATTGTATCCTACACGTAACTATGTCTAATTATATATAATCGCACAAATGGCATTTAAAATTGCATCAAGATATGCCAATAATTCCCAATTAGCATTTTAAAATTAACCCTCGTGCGGTGAGATAATAAATTGCTCTTCTAAATGTTAAGATAAACGTGTGCAAGATTATTTTACATTATATTGCAGTATTAAATGAGTCTGTTTGCAGATTTGAGAGAAAAAGAGAGCGAAATTTAAATAATAATTTAATAGAGCACACTAAAAAACAATTTTGTCAACTCGACTAAATCTTTCAACTAAATATTATTTTGTTACTTACACATATACACATATTTAAATTAAATGTAACATATTAAATCTAACAAAACGTATATTTGATTTAAATATTAATACATGTTCAATTAAAAAAATAGTAATTTAGTTGAAAAGTTTAGTCAAATTAAATGTTTTTTTTTAGTGCGCGATCTCTCGCGATGAGCGATTTTATTTGCGGCAAGAATTCGCAATAATAGCGAATCTCACTTTATTTGGTGAGTCTGTACTTCCGTTGTATGCACATTTGTCCTCCAAAGAGACAACGCAGTCGGCGACGCAGCTTATATTTACTTCCTCGATGTTTCGCATAACAAAGTCGCGGCCAAGAGACGGTTGACGTCAGCAATGTGTTAATTGAATTCCGCACGACCGGTTATTAACATCGCCGAGCGGATTAAAGCGAGGCTGGGCTTTTAGCGGATTTCCGGGTTCCGCGTCGGAATTAACTTCTTCGATCGTAAACGAGCTGCTCCGAATCTCTCGAGAGTGTAACGAGAATGAAAATTGACCAACATCATCGAGTGCTGATCTCTCGAGGTCAAGTGTCGCGGAAAAATAATAAATGTACGAACGTCAAATACGAAGAAAAGTTCTCGATTAAATTATAGAAATTATATAATGATATATATGCAAGGAGTGATTCGTAAAATTATGTGTATTTGAAAGTAAACGTGAGTTATCAGTAAGAAGATTAAGTCTGAAATTTTGCGCACTATTGACAAAATAAATTTATCGAATCTCGAGTCTATTAAATTTTCTAATATTCTTGCTGTTATCTGACACATTCATTTTAGAATAATTTTTATTAACGCGAAATAAGAGTGAAGATACGAGTTAAATGTTTCAGACATTTAATTTACAAAAATATATTGATTATAAATATAGTTATATATTTAAAAATAATTCCACATTATTCAGTAATATTTAGTACTTATGTAAACATCGCCAAAATAATATATAATATATTTCAAGCATCGCTCAAAATCTGGAGAAAAACGATTATATAATTGAAAGGATTATATAAATCATAAAGCAAGAAATTCAATTTCAGAATTTGAGAACCTACATCGTCTATCTCTCTTTAACTGTAATAAATTCAGTCGAGTTGGAATGTGCATTCATCACTAAACATTGATAAAAACAAAGCGCGCATAAAAATTTGCATATACTTAAATCGTGCTTGAACTCGTATAGAATACGAAGTTCGTAAATCGTCGACTTTTTTATTATTCCAGGAAGAGAAAAAACGGCATCCGTTTCCGCGAAACGCGGCGTCGACGAAGACGAAGAAGACGGTTTGTTTACAACCGGAGAATCGGAAGAATCGTCAAGTGTGCGCGCGCACATATATGTATATACACACACATACACACATGCACGCACATCGCGACGTGGCTCCGATTATACCGAGGATTTATTTCGTGGAAAAGTACGCGGAAAAATATATCCGGACACCTACCTTGGATCGCTGGTCTCTGCCTCGTCTCGGCTGTCAGTCGCGATGTCTCGTCGATAAAAAAATCCTTTGCCAAAGCGGTGTCCCGGGTGCAGCGGAAATATCACTGGCCGCTGTCGTCGTCGTTGAACCGGACACAAAACGTTTCGACGTTCATCGGACGGCGAGTCGTCGTCGTCGTCGTCGTCACCGTTCCTCGTGCTTTATCCGGCACGCACGCACGGGACGGCATGCGTTCGCGCGTAATCAGGTCGCGGCGGGCGACATTCGCGAGAGCGAGACAGAGACAGCGCGCGACACTTTTCCGGGCGGCGCGAACACGTGAGAGGGATTAACGTTCGCGAGTCGATCGTTGCGTTGCGTTTATATCACAGGAGAGAGAGAACCAGGAGAAGAGAATCCTCGGTCCTTGGCACTCGATCGCGCACTTGTATGTGTCACTTGGTCTGTTTCCGCCTATCCCCTTCGTGACGACACCAAACGATCGCGGAAGTAGATGCGATATATAGATAGTAGATGTGGGTGAAAAAAAAAATCGAAGTACGTTCGAAGATCGAACGCTCGAATTTTCGACTCGTGCAATTGCGGAATGCGATTGCGAGCGGCTGTCGAGTTTTACTACACGTTCGAGTACTATCGCGCGTACCGAGGTCAGCGAGCGACTGAATCCGCTTCGATCCTTCCATCCGCCGCGCACAACACAGTTTCACCACAGCGGAAGGTTGTCGCGGAACGAGCCTCGCGCACTGTCCCCCTCTTCTCGGCGCGTCGAGATGGCGCGTGCGCAGTGGGGCGAACCGATTGGCCGGGGCGGCCGGCCAATCACGCGCCGCGTTGTGTACGGCGCCAGAGGAAATAATCGAACAGTTGTCGCGGCGATTGAGTGGGGGAGGAAGAGTAGAGTGGAAGATCGGGCGCGCGAAGTCGCAGCGTGTAAAGGTGGAAAAAACGAGAAAAAAGATACCCCGCCGACTTCCTCGTAGCTTCCTCGTAATCGCGATCGTGATTGTCGTCGAGTTAACCCCGGCCGATCGTCTTTCCACATGCAGCAACGCGGAATTCAAGCGACACGGTAGCCCAACGGACTCTTGGACTCTCGACCGGAATGAAGTTAGGTAAAATTTCCCGGAATTTTGAATAATATCGATATATATATATAATTTTGATATATCGATATATAAAACTGTAACGAAGAAATATCATGAAATAATATGCAGTTTTAATGCTAAATCGTCTCGGGAAGACGTGGCTATACATAATTGTGGGAAAATATACATAATTATGTGTAGAAAATATTATCTTCGCACTTGACTAGTCAACGAGATGCTAGACAGAAATGAAAGAGAGGGGTGAAGAGAGAAAGAAATAGTGACGCTTATCCCATAAAACATTTCTGTCCGCTCTAGCATCTTGTCCACTTGTCCGACTCGACACAGAGATACTCTCGATAATTACGTGGATTATAATACATTCAGGCACGTGTCATTTTTGTTAACAGGTCATAAGGAAGATTGGAGGCGAAGTCGTGAAAGGGGGGTTGGAGAAAAGAGAGAAAAAACATATTCTCGCCGACTTTCTCGTAGCTTCCTCGTAATCGCGATCGTGATTGTCGTCGAATTAATCAGCGGTCCATCGTGTTTCCACATGCGCTCGACATATTGATGAAATATATTGAAGCGATCAAGATCGAACGGCCCAACAGACTTTTGGACTTTCGACCGGAATGCACTTAGGTAAAATTTCCCAGAATTTTATGTAATATAATATGTAAATAATGTTCTCATATGTGAAGCTATAACAAAGAAATATGTATAATGAAATAATACATTTTAATATTAAATGCAATGTCTATACATAATCATGTACAAATATACATAATTATATATGTATATGTAGAAAATATATTCTCAATAATTATGCGACAAATACATTCCACGTACGCGCTATTATTCGTAGATCACAACACTGAAAAACATTTTTAACTAAGCCTTTTTACTGAATATATCTATATTATTTTGTTAATTGAACATGTAAAAAATATTTAATATTACATGTAATATATTAAATATAATATAAATCTAACAAAATATTTGACTTGCATATTAATATATGTTCAATTAACAAAATAATAATTTAATTGAAGAATTAGTCAAGTTAATAAATTTTTTCAGTGAAGAAAATTAAGAGCAGTAAACTGCTTCTGTTTTTTTTTAAATAAAATTTGTAGATAGATTACAAGATATGTAAACTTGTTTGAGAGAATTATTTATACAAATATAAAGTGTTATATAAAATTAAATCGCTAATTTTTTACTTTTTCTGTGAAATATAATGCACCGATAGTTAAGTCACATTATTTTTTTTTAGTAACTTAACGATAAAATGACGCACATTATTTAATATTGTTTCGTTATGAGAACATATTTCTAATATTTCTAATAATTTTATATTTACATGTATAATTATATGTATATATAATTATATATATATATATGGCTACATATATCGACACAGTGCATTCCTGAATTCTTAATTTGCATTTCATTTAACATTATAAGATACAAATATATATAATACATTTATAGACTTAAGTGATTTTTATAAATGCACTTCTTATCTGTACTCATTTATATATTTCTATCTTGATTTCTATATTACATGCTGTTATCAGTATAGCTGCATTACATTTTATTATATTATGCAATTTAATTAGACAAAAATAAGCGCCACGTGATTTTTACGATATCATAAAAAAATGATGGATAGATAAAATTGCCTAATTGATTATGAGATAAGATGTTTAAACAGACGGGAAATAATCGAGTTCATTATCGTTAATTATCGTAAATTAATCGTATAAGCAATAAAAATTGCTATGTTAAAAATGTCTCTAAAAACTAATGCATATTGCAAATAAATAAACAAATTCCCGTCGCGGTTAAATAATATTTGTGAATTTCTATTTAAAAAAAACGTGTCTAAAATAGGTGCCTCCGCAATAATTGAATTATTAATGTGATCAATATCTAGATTCCATCTTACGTAAACAGAAGATAATAATCCATGACCAAAAAAAAAAAAATGCAGATCAGACTTTCGCACGATATAAAAAACGATCGCACAGTATCAATAACAAAAATACGAATGCAAATATCGTTCTTCGCGCGAATTTTAACATCGCTCGTTAATTTTTTTTCAAAAATTTCAAAAATAAAGATAAACGAATAAGTATATCTCGATGACATCGTGAAATTATATACTACTATTGGAAATAATTCTAAATTGTTTTTATATTAGTTTTTTTACATGTGATGATCGCGCTTTTTGCGTGCCTGGATGTTCCTAATTTTTTTGTTCGTTTTTTTTATTTACACGATATGTATAAAAGCGCGATAATTGACAACCGGTTATTTTACGAATTTGTTCGTTTACGAAACACAGCGAAATGCGTCACTTTGAACTTTGCGAAAAAAGCGACATTGAATCTCGTGGGGGAAAACGCTTGTTAAGACAACATTTGTAGAGAAATATGGAAGGGGGACTTGAGCAAAAGATAACAAACAAGATATAAAAATTTTAAATCAGTCGAAAGTTTAATATTTGCTACATAATACGAAATAGTAATAACTTATATTACTATAATAATATGTTACTAATATATATTACTAATAATAATAAGTATAATATTTACTATTTTACTATTTACTATTGAAACTCTAAGAATAGTAATGGAATTTACATTGAGATAAAAATTTAATATTTTTATGTCTAATAATGAAACAGAAGTAATATATAAGATTTGATATATTGATTAAATTTTTTCTTTTTTTTCAAATTATCTATCAAAAGTATCTTTTTCATTCTTGACAACGTGAGGTTCTCATTCTGCATACTATTAGCAGGATTGTCAAAAAAAGAAAAAAAAAGATACATTGCCTTGCTTTGATCAATTTCAACCGTGTTGTTGTTGACCTGGTCGAACTCATTAATCCGTTATAATCTCAAGCAAACAAGTCCTTCTCTCGTTCTCGTCTGTCCTCCCGCCTCCCTTCAACGATTCCGCTACCGCCGCTGTTCTCTTGCTTATCTTAATCGCGGCAAAATGCGAAAAGTTGCCTTAATATATATATACCGCCACGCGCGACGCACGTGGTCTGGCTCTCTGCGACAGATATATATCTAGTCCTTCCTTTTTATCATATTTTATTTTACGAGATAAAATCGACTTACGATTTATGTCGAGATAAGATTCTTTAATCGCTTTGGAGGGGCTTTTTTCTCAATTAAAATCATGGGTAACAAACTTCCGCATTTAATCGCGAATAAAGAGCATTTATTAAGAGAATTCTATTGCTAGGAAATCTTATTATCAAAGTAAACTTATTTTTGAAACGGAAGCAAAATGATTTCTCATTATATAAATACATAAATATTAGTTAAATTAGGTGTGTGAAGCTGGCGTCTGATTTCGTGGAAACTTATAAATAATTAAGAGTTCTGGCTTTATTTTCAATAGTTCTAAAGTTTTTGATAGTAATTTAAATAAATAGTTCTGACCATTAAAGCAACGAAAATGCCTTGAGACAAACTGACAAACGTTAACTTTATACAACTTTATCCTACGACATTTTCCTTATCAGTAATTATCAGGATTAAAAAATTAGAATTCAACATGAGTTCTGAAAACATTTCTGCCTTCTAAAAGTAAACAAAATATTAAGCTGTATAAAAATAACCGAATACCTATATCTGCAGGTATTGAGATGAGACGCCAGTCAATTTTCGAAAATTGTGCACAAATGTGTTGCGAATCGTGGATATATTCATCTTTAATTTTAGCTTACATATTTATATCATGAATGTTATAATGCAAAAAATAATAAGATTGCTCTAATATACATGCATATATACATGTATATTTTATTTGTTATAGGTCATTGCTGAGAGATAAGCTGCGCTACGAAATTCTCAAGTGCCGGACGTTGCTTCGTGCGATTTTAATTTTCGTATCGTTTTTTTTTTCTCATTGTGCAATGTACGCGAAATACGCGTGCGACTCACGCGTCGTGTCGGAAGTTCGGGAGTGCCGTGTTAAGTATCGCGCGTCGGGAGTGCCGTATAAAGTGTCGGGCGATCGTAATTATTCGTGTTTTCGCGAGTGTCGTGAGTGCTACGAAGGACCAAAAGAGGAGGAGCAGGTCCGAGGAGGCATCGGGCGACAGCGGGACAACTGTGAGGTAAATAAAAACATTTTTTTTAAACTGCATTGTTTATGAGATATTCGACCACTTCCAGAGTTTTAAAACATCCTGTGCCTGTGTATATCTATAAAATTTGAATATTTTGTTTTCAGAGCAATGTGCTACAACTTCGCTATTGCATATATCGGTGAGTAAGAAATTATTTATTTTATAACATTTTTATAGTGATGGGAGGATATGAAGCTGGCGTTTGATTTCATGGAAACTTATAAATAATTAAATTCTAGCTTTATGTTCAATAGTTCTGGAATTCGTGGTAATTTAAACAAATAATTCGGGCCATTAAAGCAACGAAAATATCTTGGAACAAACTGAGACGCCAACATTATACGATATCTTACTACAACATTTTTCTTATTAATAATTATCAGGATTTAAAAATGTTATAGTTTTACATTGGTTCTAAAAAGAGTTCTGCCGTCTAAAAGCAAAAAATATTAATTAAACTAAAACAAAAACAACCGAATACTTATGTGTCTATATAGATATTAAGATGAGACGCCAGTTTCACATACACAAATATTAGTTAATTTCTATTAATATTAAATATTAGATAATCTTCATTAAACTCTGACCTGTCCACGATAACAAACTCAATTTTCATCTCACGCGATGAGTATTATCGGATCTTTTCTGCTTTCTTTTTCTCGCGGAATTCCCAACGATAGGCGCAATTTAATCAAAATGAAAAACATCTCGAATTATTAAAAAGCAAAATGATATTGATCAAACTATCATTCTTCCTGTCTAGCATGCGCAAAGTAGGGATGGATCAATATGTATTCACGTATGAATTTTAACACTTCCCGCGATCAAAGGTAACATTGTAAATGAATTATATTGGTCATTGCTTATACGCGACTTATTATGAGCATTGATTCATTTTAAAAAATTTTCTAAAGTTTAATAAAATATATTGATAGACAAATATTTCGAGACTAGAAAAAAATAGATATTTGAATTTTATTGTATTTTTAATTAATTTATTTAATTTTATGGTTTACATACTATATTTTGATTTTAATAATATGTACAAATTATATTCAAAACTTATAAATTTTTTTTTTGAAAGACAGGATGATGCGATTATTTTTAACATATCTGAGATGTCTGAAATTCTCATCTAATCCGTCCCTATTTACTAAGGCGCGACGAATAACAAAAGATCGTCATTATCGTTAAAATCAGTCGGTGTGCGTCTCGAAAAAAGCACGCCAAACACGCCGCATGATCATGGACATCCCTACAATTGCTGGTCCTCATATGAGAAGACTGAGGTTGAAGATATAACAGGTCAAACAGGTTTTAGACTTCTCTGAGAGCTACCTGCACCTCGAAGGGTTCTCTTTTCCAAAGCCCGATCTACTTCTTTCTTCTCATCTTTTATTCGGAATCCTCCCTTGGCTTCCTCTCTTCCCTCTCTTGATAACCTCTCATATCCTTGGTTCCTGCGGAAGAGATGATGAACAGGAACCTAAAGAATGAAAAAGAATTTATACGAACATTCGGGCACCTACGCGAAGCGTGTGTCTCTTGTGCGCGTATGTTTACATGTGCGCAAAAAGACTTTCTCGAAGAATATGCACTTAATTTCAAAGTAAAAGCGATAAAAATAAAAGTATGTAAGATTCTCTCTCTCTTTCTCTTTCTCTTATCAAACTTTGAAAACTTAGTGGAATTTTTTAGAATACGCATTAAATTTCTAAACTTTTTTGAACTAAAAAATGAGAAAAAAATATAATACTCATTAAATTTTCAGTTTCAATATTTCTCAAACATTACGCATATAATTTCTGAATATATTCTTTCGTATTGAAAGAAACTATTTTAAAAGTTGCTTAAATTTGGAAATTTATTTATTATTGACAAAATGTTATTTAGAAAAAAATATATTTATATTAAATATATATACATATATATGTATATGTATACATATATATAATTATATTAGACATATTACAATACAATAATTTTTACAATTAAATACATTGTTTTTTAATCTAAACAAAATTTGCTATTATAATTGATAAAATTTGCATGATTTAAATACATTGATTTATTACATTAAAAAGTTAAATTATTAAAAATTACATCTAATCTACTAAATAATTTTAATTATTTATACATATATAAGAAAAGGTATTTAATATCAAATACAATATTGTGCACTCAAGATGATGAACTAAAATAAAATAGAGATATTCTCTTTAGGAATTATAATATGTTAACATTTAACCCTTCTGCCAAATTGTCGAATTTTTTAAATATTTATTTGTTTTGAAAAGGATTTTGTATCAAATAAATATTTTTCACGATTTAATATTATTAGGTACAACTAAATGACACATTAGGTAGTATTGAAATAAATTTTTTTTAATGAATATCTACGTACCAACTATGTTTCCTATACATTGCACTATAACTATTTTTTAATGTAGACATCTATTAATGTTGAATAGTCCTTTTCATTATATTTTAGAAGGTTTTAAACTCTTTATTTCGAACAAAGAAATATTTTGATCAACAGTTTGATCAACACAAAAAATATCTTTATCAACATTTAAATGCTTGGGATATCCGGATATCCATTTATTGACAAAAGGATAAATTATAATTTAAGAAATACACTATTTCCGCTCTTTTACTTATTATTTTCATAATATTATAAACATTATGTTTGTCACAAATTTCTTTAAAAATAATGTCAATATATCAGAAACCCTTAATAAAAATGTCTCATGACCAGGCCTGGCGAAAGAGATTAATCACGTTATAATAATTTCCAACAGAATTAGGATCAATCGAAAAATAAATTCGATAATTACATTTCATTATGCATATAATCAACAGCAATCAACTCTTATCTATTATCTCATCAAATTACATTTAATAACTTATAATCATTATCCACAATTATTCGTTACAACAACGTGTCAGACATCGCATACATATTTACTTATTCGCTCGTCTCGGAATTACGAAGAAAATCATTAAAATGTAGCGGATGCAAATAGCTACAGTTCGTAATGCCCCCGTTGTTCCACTTTACTAACGGATAGGATGCAGACAAGAAAAGCATAAGAATTGGAATATCGTCCGTTGTTGCTGTTTATTGCTGCGACTGCCTGAGCTCCGGAGCATCGAACGCTGTCAGCGGTTTAGTAATCTAGCGGCGGCGACGCTGGCGCAATCCGGGAATTTCTCGCGCGAGGCGAAGGAAGGAAATTGCGTTGCCCAATTAGAAATCGCGGGAGACCGCAGAAAGAACGGACCAGAGAAAGAGGGAGAGTTCGCTGGCGGCAGAGGGAGGTTTGGAATAAATCTTCTCGAGAGGGAACGGAACGAGAACGCGGCACCTCGTGTATTTAACCCTAATCTGGCCAATCCCGTTTTCCAGCCGAAAGGAAGAGCGCGGCTGGATGTTTGCTGGAATAATCATTTAATGAAAGTCGCGTCGTTGTGTGGCGTAACGATAATTATATAATAGAAGCGAAGATTTTAGATTTCAAGTGAATTGGAGCGTCGGTTGCACGAACGTTAGTTAGATTACTTAAGTCTTGCTTAATTTACTTTTCTCTTATAAATATTGTATAATTATTACTTGAAAGTTGTGCCATTTGTAGAAATTTAATTGAAATTGATATCTCTAAGACAACGAAATCGATAGTGACATATAAAATGCAAGTGAAAAATAAATTTCATAACTTTTCTCTTTTGAAACATATACATATATATATCTCTTTATTTATAATATATGTATGTATCCGGATTTCCGTCGAGAGACCGGATAACAATTTCCTCTTTCTTGTCGCATTGCATGGTTCGACCATATTCACGTGACAGAAATCACTTTCTGCGACTCGGGCGCGGCTTCGCGACAAAGATGCGAGAGAAAAAAAGAGGAGCGTAAAAAATATCTGAGATAATAACCGTGCGATAATTATTATTAAACGTCACTAGTCCGCGTGGCTGTCCGCGCTTTTTTCTATGAGCGTGATATAAAAAGGCAAGCCGTTCGTCCCCGGCCGCCACGTAGATCGCGCCGTTTTCCACGAGCGTCGATATAAAAAGAGTCCCTTTGCGAGTGATCCTTGCGGATGATCGAGGATTAATAACGACAGGATGAACTTTAACACACAGCTAGCATTTATCCCGCGGGCGGTTATCATCGAAGCGAGAGAGGGCGAAGCGAGAGTTGGCGGCGACTCGACTCTCCTCTCTCGAAAGGCCAGGCCACAAGTAAAGATCGATGGATCGATAGATCACGGTATCTCTGTGTGTACGGTCCTACGAGTTTCTTCTTCCCTCCCTGCGTTCGTTAACCGATGCTCCTAGGTGTCGTTTGACACGGGGATTATTATTTATCGTTCTGCGCGCGTTTGAGAAATTAATCAGAACCGCGTGGAGGGACGCGTGGGAGAGACCGAAAAATTTACTCGCGAAATTCACGTGCCATTTTTGTAAGCATTTTACCTCTGACACGTGAAATTTCGTTACGTTACATTTTCCTCTCGCGCGACACTTTCATATATATAAATGCTTTCCTCGTACCATTGTTTCTAAAATTTAACTTGAAATCTTAAATTGGAAAATTAATATTTTGTATTATAAATTTAAAATTTATATTGAAAAATAGTGTTTAATACATGTATGTTTAGGAGCAAAAAAAATGTTTTATTTAATATCGAATATTATTCTAGCTTTTCGAGGATTTAAATAGAACTTTAATATAAATATATTAATTGCTTCCTTTTATAAGAGATATAACAGCGAGAATATTTTAATTACATGTAACGTCGTTTTTGATGCTGTTAATCTACCAAATATTGATCATTTTCGTTGATTCGTTTGTTCCTAGATTATTCCTAAATTCCTATATATTGGAAACGATAAGCAATCATGTGTGGATCAACCGGGTTAAAGCTTTGCTATACTATTGTTCCTATTTCTGCTTACATACCTGTGAGAATTCGCCGCTGTTAGAAGTCGGCATCGGGGCGATCGATACAATTTCCGGCGGAGATAAATCACGAGGATTTATGATCACGTTTGCTGATTTACCATGTCTCACGTTAATCGGGATATTCTCATCGATCGCGGAAGAGATCGCCGAGAGATCTGCAATTTATAGTAGACCTACATTGATTTTACAATGCGATGTGCGCGCTTTCGCGAATCCTGCATCGGTTTCTCATTTCAAATGTGCAACTATACATCCTCTCATTGGCATAAAAAAAACTCGCAATTTAATTACTAATTTTTAAATAAACGGAAACAAATTAGCTCACTTCCATATTGATTCTTTTATAATATATTACATAATATAGATCTCTTACAAAACACACTGATTCATTAAAATAAAAAAAGATTCGTTTAAAAATACACGGAGAGAATTTTCTCTTAGAGTTTACCCTGAAAATCATGGTAATCGTAGGATAATATATGGTGTTGGAAGAATTTTGTAAGAGTTTCTCTAAATATTAATCGGTATACATATAGTAAAATTAATCGAGTATATTTTATATCTTATTGTGGTAGATATTAACACTTTTATTGTGGTAAATATTAATCAGTAAAACTCTTATAAAATTCTTCCAATACCATATTGTCCCACGATTACCATGAGATTTTCAGGGTAAATTCTAAGAGAAAATTTTCTCTGTGTAGTTTGAAAAATATGGACCGCTACATAATTCTTGTATATTTTATATCACGATTTTTCCTCTATATGCGTGTGTTGTGTATACAGTTTACGTAATTTTGATACAACGTGCTCGACCGGCGATATCGGTGCTGATAATATAAAACCGAGATTATATATATACGCGGCAGAGAAAGTGTCTCCTCCGCCTTAAGGCGCGTTCACACGCGCTTCAAACACCGTGGCGAATGGCGCGGTTCGCTCGCGGGCGCGTAAACGCACTTATATAATCGATTACGGTAATAGCCGGAGTTATGGCAATCTCCGGGCATATAGCCGCGGCACAAGCAAGGCAGGTAACCCAATTCCGCGTTGACCGGACATGCTGGTGCTCTCGCAGCGCGAGAGAAAAGCACGGCGAGCGAAGGCGGCCAGCTACTCTCGTGGGATATTACCTCCATCGAACTGAAACGCGATCGTTGCTACCGGACTCCTTTGATTCCGGGTGCATTCCGCGCAATATCGTTTCCAAAGACCGCTTCCGTAACATTTTAAATCCGCGAGATTGGCCTACCCCGATCGAAATTCGCGTTGCAATCAAGTCAGTTCGTAATTGTTGAAATATTCGCGTGTGATTAGTTTATATGAGTATGATTATTTTTCAGTTTTTTTATAAAATATAAAACCGTCATTTGCTTGCTTATTTATTTGCAGAAAGCCTCGAGCGCTTTTCCGACACGCGTAAAAACGCCCGCATGTACACTAAGCAGCGGGAAATAAGTAAAACCGCGGAGTATAATTACGCAACGCGAGTCGGGCGCAGGTCGAGATGTTTCTAACAAAGCCGTTTATTTTCCGCGGTACTTAATAATATATGAGAATCACGAATGAGAGAGAGGAAAAGAGAGAAAGAGAGAGAGAAAAGAGGACGAAGTATATTTTACGTCATATTTGCTTCATATATTCACATAACGCGTAAAATATTCTTTTATAATACTAGTATTACTAAAACTGTCATTTTTTACAGCCATTAAAAATATATGTTTAATAATATATAAATTATGTGTGTACGATATAGTAAATTTAAGAAATATTTAGTATATAAAAAGATTTTTTTATTATTAAATAATATTTAATATAACACAATTTTTTATAATTTCTAAAGTTACATCTTAAAATCGATAAGTAAACATATTTTTTGCATGCAATTTTGTAAAAACTACCACAGCGCTATATGAGCTAGAATAATATTAGAAAATCATAGAAAAGTGCGAACCGTTTTATGGATAACATGATTCCATTCTAAAATTTATATTATTTAAGATCGAATAGAAATTCGCGTAATAAACTGAATGTATATAGAAATTTCGGTAATAAAAATTTAATTACAAGACTGTAGCTCATAACAATCGAACAAAAAAGATCATTTTTAATTTTGAAAAGCTTTGTTCTTGCTTCCGTTATATTAATTACAATAATATATATTCTTTTTAGTATTAGTTATATATGCTATTACACATATTGGTTTAAAAGCGCACAAAAATATTTTTAAAAAATGTCTGTTAAATGCTCGAATAAATCTTCGTTGAATCAGATAGTCGAGAAATATAGAAAGATTAACAGATAAATCAGTCTCATCTCGATAAATCAGTCGAATGAGTAAGTCGCAAACCATTTTCGAAAAATAAACGAATTAGGCGAGAAGGATTTAAACACGAATTCGCGAAGCGGCAAATTCGTTTAATCGAGTCCGTGCAGATTCCGTTCCAAATTGGGCAAGCGCGAAATTAATATTTCGAATGGTTCCTGGTGTCACTTAAATGCAGTACACGTAATAATCCACGATAACGATCGAACATTGTATAACATCGCGCCAATAAGTTAGGAAATAACGTTTCCGCGCTGGAAACGTCAAGAACATTATTTTCACGGGGTATATCACATGCGGGAATCTGCTTTAATCCCGGTAATAATCGCGCGGCAAAAGCGAGCATCAGGAACGAGAAACGGTGGAAAGCGAGCCTAATGAGGACGATATGCAATTTATTGCACCGGCACGTCGCGGCGCCGCCATTCAAAAAGAAACATGATGGAGGAGAAATATAGATAGAGGAAGTTGAGAATCAATATATAGAAATACAGATAAAGATACTTATACGTATATTATATTTTGTATCGAAAATTGAAATTTCGCTAAGAACAATTAAACGTAAATAATAAGAGAAAAATATAATGAGAAAACGATATAAAAATAAAATACGTTATCTATTAACAGAGAAATATGCAATAATTAAAATTCTTTCGATATGGTCATAAATATATAAATAAAGAGGGATAGAAAAATTTAGTAAGACGATGTGCTGTTTATGATTAATGTTTAATAAGAATTAGAAATAAAATACATTATCTATTAATAGAGAAGTATGCAACAGTTAAAATTCTTTCGACGGTCATAAATATATAATATATAAATAAAGAAGGATAGAAAAACTTAGTAAGACGATGTGCTATTATGATTAATGTTTAATTAAATTATATCTTTTTATTACGCAAAATTGGATAAAATTTAACAAGAATTTGTGAATATTTCACTCTCTCTCTCTCCCCTTTTTTTTTTCTAAAAATGGTCAGATTTTGAGTAATTTTTTATGTGATTTACGGATAACTAACTATTAAAAAAAAGGAGGAAATAAAAACAGAAAAACAGAATGAAAAGGGAGAGTGAGAAATGGACGAACAAGACGAACGAAAAGAGCTACGTTGTAAGTAATCGGGGGAAACACGTGGTGTATTATCACTGTGGTAATCATGGTCTTATTATGGCTGTCGAGTCAACAAGAACATGGTCTACGAGCGCGTCTATTAGCCTAACTGCAAATCGTTCTCGACAGCGTCTGCTCGCCTCGAGATAGCTAATTTGTGTAATCAAAATGAAAAAAGAGAAAAAAAAGAAAGCATCGTGTGCGCGCAACGCGTTTGATTAAGTGTTATATATCGTTAAAACATTTACCGTGTATTTTGTCATGTGCTTGCAAACGAATGTTCTTCATCGATCGATTAAATTAATTCGTGTCATCGGTTAATCTCGCATGTTAATTATTCTTTTTTTTAATCTTTTTCATTAGATTTAAGACTCATTATATAATATTATTAATAATTATTGTAAAAATCTTTTAATAATTTTACTTTTAAATTAAAATAATATACAGTGTTATGTGTTAGTGTTTTTTATATTTTTCTATTAAACAGTTTATTTTTGCAACTTTTAAAAACTCTTTCTTAACAAGAAGCTTTGACATATCTGCGAAAATATCGAAAATCTTTTCCAGCAATTGCATTTATCGTTGACGTGTTCGCGAGTTGATTTAACATTTCATTTTAGCAGTATTAATTTTTGAGTAACGATGATATGCTCGCGCAACTCGATATTTTCCGAGAATCGATCGTGAACGAGCAAATAACCAAAATAATTGGAACACCCTCATCATCCTCGTCGTTGTTGTCTGTGCAGTATTCGTATCGTCTAAGCAGTATTTAGAATCACAATAAGAGAGAGGGACTATCGCCAATCTATTTTACGCGTTTCTGAGCGTCTCGGAATTTTGGACGGAAATTAAGCGCGGCGGTATCGTCGCGCAAATTAAATTCCTACGCGCGCCGACCGGCCCCATGGCTGGTCTTTTACTCACGACCGAATCTACACTTAATTCGTGTCTCGCTTATATTGATCGTCGAGAGATTCGTCGTCGTCGATTGCGGCCGGAATTTCCCGCTGCTTCGAAGAACCTTCGTCCCGTGATTTAAAGCGTTCGCCGCGGCGATTATTGATTCAATATTCGATGTTTCTCGCGGTATTTTATCGATTTATATTCGCTGAATGATATCAATTAATTTGCGTGAGACATCGATTATCTCTACTTTAAGAGAGGGCAACTAATCTCGTGCAAGAATTCTAGAGAGCTTGTCAAGAATTAAGTTCTTCGTATTTTTATCCCGCTGTTCATTATATCGTGCAACGTAATTATATACGTTAATATATTTATTTTTTTATAGGTCTCGGACATCCCATGCTTAATCAAATCAGTCTGCGCTAAAGTCCTCGTCATCGAGCGAAGTTCATGCATCTTCCTGGCGCCACGCAGCACTTAATATCATGACGGTGAGTAATTCGTCGAATCTGCTTATGTCTCACTCATTCCTCGCAATCGGCTTTCAGTATCAACCGTATATAGTTCCGTAGAAATTTTGCACGTATTTGCATAACGTTACCAAGCGATTCGTCAACATCCGGACGCGAAATTAATAAATCGTCACGCGCATATCATGTTTTACATTCTATGTTATGCCGTTTATTATTAATTAAAGGATACTTGCCGCTAAACGTGTATCGTTGATAGAGCTATTTGACGTACCACGTTTAATCGAGCGTAATCTCTGTAATTCCGTGAGTTTGTTTGGATTATTCTCCGCCTTCTGGAGATTTCAGGCGGACGTCAAACATGAGATATCGTTACCTCGAGAATGTCGCAATTACAGATTCAAGTGCGAATCTTTTGCGCAACACTTGTTATTTTTCCAGATTTTTTACGTATCATCGGTACGCATGTCGAATATCTTTTTAGCTACAGATATTTTGACAAATTTCACATCGGTGTATTTCTCATATTACGGATTTACGATGGCTATTTTACATCCATATCGTTTACTTAGCGACAAGTTATATCTATATTAAGATAGAGTTCAGTTGCAGTCAAATGCAAAACAGGATTATGTTATCTGTTTACATGTCTGAAGCTGCGAAATTATCTTTTACATAAACGCTCGTATAAAATACTCATACATTCGAACATTGATGTAATACATCGATGCAACGCACGTGATAATTAGATTGTGTCAAGTTAAGCTTTCTGAATTTTTTTTCCTGTTATTTGGCTTCCGCGATTTTTGAAGAAAATTTCAATATTATCAGTCACACACTGAAAAAAAAATTTGTTGACTTGACTAAACCTTCCAACTAAATAACTATTTTGTTAATTGATCATATATTAGTATTTAAGTCAAATATACGCATTTTGTTAGATTTAATATGTTTTACATTTAATTTAAATACTTGATACGTTCAATCAACAAAATAGTATTTAGTTGAAAGGTTTAGTCGAGTTAATAAATTTTGTTTTCAGTGCGGGTTTAATAATTTCTAAATCTGTCTAACGAAAAGAGCTCGCTTTTATCACCCTCCGAGTCTTCATTCTAACACTCTTACGACGTTTATGCGTTCCCGATGAAGGGATGCCAAGACGAACGAAAACATTTCCCCACGTCTGCGGGCGATTCGATTTTCAAAAGCCCGTCACGTAAGACGAGAACCAGACGAAGTTAGGCAACAAGTGGAAGATGGGACGACAGGAAAAAGAGAGTCAGGCAGGCAGGCAGACAAGCAAGCAAGCAAGCTTCGCCCTCGCGACCCTCGTTGAAGTTTCTCTTCTCTCCCGTCGGCTTTTGTTACGGCCTATAGCAACTTTGACGACTACCCCAACACTCCTCTTTCCCGCTACATCTTCTCCCGCGTCATTTTTCATCCCGCTGTTCGAACATCGTTATATCCTAACGATATACAGCGGATATACCGAACGCCTGCGTCGAATGTAATTATTACAAGAAACCTGGAAGAGACCGGCTAATAGCAACTTAATTAGAAGGGTATAGAATGGAAGGTTCAATTTCTTATCGTTATGAGGAGAAATGATTTTTTTATAGGCAAACAAAAATTATTTTCTCAAAGTTGTATATTCAAAGATTGTTTTATGGAAAAATCTATATAGTTTAAAAAATTGTTTCTATCGGGCAATGTTTACTCTATTATTCTTGCGATATTAGTAAATTTAGATGACGATTTTTGCTAGTAATCTCTAGGTTTTACACTTGTCTTGATACTTATTGTTAGCGATAATTAGATGATTTCGTGTTGTAAAGTCAAACCCTAAAATATTCAGTAATATTCCATTCGATAAACAAGTGTTTTTGGTGAATATAAAATTTCCATATAAAATCAATAATGGAAGTCGCAAGACGAATTTTACGATAAATATCTGAATTTTGGACGGAACCACTTCCCAGACGATACTATTTGATGCAGATTTAAATAAGCACGCGTGTCAGAGACATTAATTTAGTTTACATTAAGTTTTGCATTCCAACCAACGAGTTTCGTATGGATTTTTCTTGTTCGCTTTATAGGCGACAATCGGACGAAGAATGTCACCAGACACATCTTAATGCGAAATAAACGATGGGTCTTAAATTATCAAGGTGACCGCAGTTTGAATCTAATTTAGGGAACTTTCCACCTAAGAAGCAACACATAAAAAAGTTGCAAAAAATTTATGTAGTAAAATTACATCTACATCTATAATTTATTTATTTAATATAAATTAAAACAATCTTTTTTTTTTTTTTTTTTTTTTTAAGAAATTCACAAATCATAAAAATGATCAAATCGAAACTATTTGGTCGAGCAAATTTCTGTTCTATCTGTATCAAGAATAAGATTGTAATATTTGAATAGAGACATAATACGATAATTTATAAAGATAAAAAGCGAACTGTTAACTAAAAATAATCCCGAAAAACTGGTATATAATAAGCGAGTCCGAGACATTCCTCCGGGTCCTATATTCCCGTCGTGTCCATCGATTCCGCTCCTCGATTTATATCGGCGTTTTCGATCCGGGGTAATCGAGACGGGCGCGTGCATCCCGCCGATTGTATGTCGAAGAGCGATGACGAGACCTTTACTGGAATCCGGTCTTCTCCTCTCTCGCCCCTCGTGGCGATGCACATCGCGACCGAAGGAAGAGCAAGTCTCTTCTCGAGAGCGATTACGCCACCACGCGCGCACCTCTCGCCGCTCAGGCCTGCGCCACGCCACAGAAGCATCTCGGAAGCCGAGGAGGATGTACAAGGTAGAAAGGACGGAGAGTGGAGAACGCCGACGATGACGGCAACGAGGCAAGGGGTGCGAGGGACCACGGGGAAGGGTATTTCAACCGTCGTCCCGGATGTGCAGCATCATTACACGGCATTCTTCGGCGATGCAGGCGTCCGGGATCTTTCTCTCTCCTTCTCTCTCTCTTTCTTTCCTTCTCATTCTTGCGCGGCTCACATGGACATGGAAACGCGCGTAAGTGGACTGCCCACACGGAAAGGGTGAAGAGATAGGGACGAGATATCGGGGATGGCGAAAGGAGACTAGACATGAGATCAGACACGCGAGACGAGGGAGCGATAATCGCAATTGAGTATTGAAAGGTTTGAGAGGGAAAGTGTGCGTGGAAAGGTCTTATGGAAGACTCTCGCATTTTAACAAATTTTGAAATATTTAATTTATTCAAATAAAAAATTCTAGAAATATTTAAGATAGTTCATATTAAGGTCTTTAGACTCTATTAAAATTTTGAAATATTAATTTATTAATTTTAATATTAAAATTATAAATAAAAAATTCTAGATAAAACATTCTTATAAGTGTATGACGTCGTCGAATATTTGGGCTCGTTATTCTTTGGATAGTTCAAACGCAATATTGAAAGGGAAGGTCTTATGGAAGACTCTCGCATTTTTACCAATTTTGAAATATTAATTTATTAATTTTAATATTAAAATTATAAATAAAAAATTCTAGATAAAACATTCTTATAAGTGTATGACGTCGTCGAATATTTGGGCTTGTTATTCTTTGGATAGTTCAAACGCAATATTGAAAGGGAAGGTCTTATGGAAGACTCTCGCATTTTTACCAATTTTGAAATTTAATTTATTAATTTTAATATTAAAATTATAAATAAAAATTTTAGATAAAACATTCTTATAAGTGTATGACATCGTCGAATATTTTGGCTCGTTATTCTTTGGATAGTTCAAAAATTAGGTCTTATGGAAGACTCTATTTTCAATTTTGAAATTTAATTTATTAATTTTAATATTAAAATATAAATAAAAAATTCATTCTTATAAGTGTATGACGTCGTCGAATATTTTGGCTCGTTATTCTTTGGATAGTTCAAACGCAATATTGAAAGGGAAGGTCTTATGGAAGACTCTCGCATTTTTACCAATTTTGAAATAAATTTATCAAATGGAAGATCGCATTTAGATAAAAATTCTAGATAAAACATTCTCATAAGTGTATGACATCGTCGAATATTTGGCTCGTTATTCTTTGGATAGTTCAAACGCAATATTAGGTTTTTCTCGGTAGAAGGAAGTCTCGAAAAATATTCAAACGAAAGGTTTGGAAGGACATAATTATTCATACCCAAATTATTGAAATTTTAATTTATTAATTTTAATATAATAAAAATATAAATAAAAAATTCTATAAAGCATTCTTATATGACATTATCGACTATTTTGGCGCGTTATTCTTAGTTCAAATACAATCTCGATTTTTTATATAAATAGATAGTACAGACTTATAACTTGTGTACGTCGGTTAAAATATATATCCAATTACACTTTTATGTAAATGCATGCGCTGAATATCTTGGGCAAGTGTGTCGTATTACCGGGAGTCGAATTACCGATTAAGGAGAAGACCGCGTTCCAGGAAACTATTGCTTCCTCGATTACTATGCGAAAGGCGGCATTAGTGTCACGTAGCATTCGCCGGTTTTCCGGGATGCGGGAAGATCTTTCGATCATTTATGCAAATTAACATTTTCCCGCTCCGGGATCGCGGTTGAACGTCAAGGAACGATTTGCTGAAGCGTAACACGAGCACTTAAATATCTCTCGCGAGATGAAATGACACGTATGTCATATTTTCAAAATTTTACTTATTAATTGTTCAATAAGAAGCATAAGATTGACCGTCTTGTATCGTTTTTTAAATTTATATGCATCGCGTTCCAAAAATCTCTGAAATATTTCTAATATGCATTAATTCTCCGCTACTATTAAATTACTTTTTTCTCAATTGCGTAAAACAAAGCATTTTCGACGTGCGTATTCAAATTTTTTAGTCTCGCATTTTTGCTTATGGATAATCAATGAATCTTTAATGTCAAATCGCTTTACTATTATTGGTCAATTAAAATAATAAAGCAGCTTTTAATAGTCACCAACAATTCATTCTGCATAAAAAAGAAAAAGCATTTGAAA